AGAAAAGTGGGAAGGCATGGAATAACATCAAGAGGCTAGCCCAGGATAGAGAAAAGTGGGGGGTGTTTGTCCGTGGTCTATACCCTGATGCAGGGTGAGAAAGGCAATGATGATGATGATGATGACGAACTACAGGACCTCAAGGACACGTATGTCTGATCAGCAACAAAGCAAAGGCAAAGTTGCAGCAATTCTCGAACCATCATACACGTATTAGAAACACGAAATATGCATATTATTTCATGACACTATGCTGTTGTTTTGTTTTAGTAAGAGTTTTACGGCACTTGCGACACAATAAGGTCATATAAGTGCTGAAGATTAGAGGTGTTACAAGAGAGTAACAAACACAAAGAATGAAGGAGGGGAGATAGAGACGATATATTTTTTATAGGAACAAAGGGGCAAACCATACCAGAGCACTCGCCAACCACCCACCTTCTGTTGTTTGTCCTTTTAAATTTCAGATAATGAAATGAAAAAGAAAATCTATGTAAATAACAAAATTAAGCTCCTTCCTTAAATTACCCCAAATCAGCATAAAGTCTTATTCAGGCGTTGTCAAAATGACTGGAATGCACGTCCTCCATGAGTATATTTTGTTAAATTTTTCTTTCTTTCTGTCTTTCTGTCTGTCTTTCTGTCTGTCTTTCTGACTTCTTTCTTTCTTTTTTTCTTTCTCTATCCATTTATCTATGCCTTTATAAATTGATTAATTTGTGTTTTTATTTATTTTTGTGTGTATTTTTTTAATTTATTCGTTCGTTAGTTCATTTATCTTAGAGCAAGCAATTGGTTAATCAATTAATAATTAATTATAGTTTCAATATAATGATTAATCTGATTTAGACGCTCGTATTTTTACAACACATGAGGAGACACAGGATATTAAAAAATTTATCATAACAAAGTTCCGAGCGTCTTATCTCTTTCATTCAGTCTTCTCAACCGACAGCTCCAGACGCACAGATATATGTAGATAGCTATATCATCACAGAACTAAGGAATCTATTTTTGTCGAGACGGATTGTTGCCCACTACAACAACAACAACAACAACAACAACAACAACAACAACAACAACAACAACAAC